CAAAAATTCGTCCAAAACCAAAATAATTCGTATAAAAATAATTTCTTGACTTTTTTATATGAATTTTTTTTTTTGCCGACTTTTTGTTGGCTTGAATACCAGCCCTACTGATCAGGATTAGTAGACAAGTCGATCTAGCTACGTCCGTATGATCTTCGAGATCTCAGGAGTATTAAAGACTTAAAGTGCTCTTTAAAAAGACTTTTTTTTTTTTGCCCGAATGGGGGAGATCTATCACCCATATAACCCGCCTTGTATCCGCACATGTCCTGCTGCAAAGCAACAGCTTTCACGCCCTTTACTTAGTGGCCATTCCATAATTCGCTTATATCTTTTTAGTAAATGGTTCAAACATTTCAACAAAAAAAAAATTTTCTAAAATGTAAAAGAGAGTTATGATCGCTCATAACTTTTTTTTAACGAATAATCCGATTTGCTTGCACTGGATAGGTATTGATAAACACAATAAAACTGCATTTTTACTTTTCCTAAATCTTTAAAGGCGAGGGCGTCAGGCACCTTTTTAAAATCATTTAAGGCGATTGTGAGCGTTAGAGGGGGCGTGGCCCTCAGCTGAAATAAACTTGCGCTGCGTAGGAAGTCCAAGAATATGTGTGGATAATCCCAACTGTATAGCTTTTGTAGTTTCCAAAATCGCAGCGTTCATACAGACAGACATGGCTAGATCGACTCGGCTAGTGACTCTGATAAAGAATATATATACTATATGGGGTCGGAAACGCTTTTTTCTACCTCTTACATACTTTTTCTTGAATTTAATATACCCTATTACTCTACAAGTAACGGGTATAAAAAGTAGCGAACAAACTATTTGTTGCATACTTTTTGAATACCCAATTTCCATTCATTTTCCACTCGAGTGGGGGCGATTAATCTCCATATCCCTAACCCCCTGCGGATCCGCGCATGCCCTTTGCAAGGGTAAAAATACAAATATTTTGTTAAAACTTAACAATCTTATGAAATTTTCTAGAGTTAAATGACAGCTCGCCATTCACCAACATGGCCATGTAAATTACATACTTCGAGAAAGCGATTGCATACTTTTTGCTGTTCAGTACACAGGTAGCAGCATAAATCTCAGAAAGGTTTACATTTTGGAATGTAGGCAAATGTATTAATTATAATAATTATAATTACGGATAATAAATTGTTCTTTAACTTTCTTAAGCACGTCGTTGCGTTTCAGTCTTTAGTTTAAAAACTACACCTCGTCAAAGTTAAAAAAATGTTGGAAAATATAAATAAACCATTGCATAAAATGCTCCTTTAAAAATACACGCCTAAAACACGGTTTATCACACCTCAAGTTAGAAAATAAAAAAGTGTCAAGTTTACACTAAGAAACAAATTGGTACCAAACAAAAAATGTTAAATGCCCTTTTATTAATCAGGGATATGAACTTTACCGGAAAAGCAAGGTCGCCTTCATGGCGTATTTCATCGATTTTTTTGTAAACTGGTGTTGTTTACATTTTTTTGGATCCTATAATACCACATTTTTTAGGGAAATATTTCGTAATAATTTTGTTTTTTAATATATAAGAATTTGCCAACAAAAATAATTAGTTAAATCGGACACTATGTCTTTATTAGAAAGATTCGCGCAAAAATAATAGAAACAAATTTGTCTTCGTGGTTTTGAAGTAGGCCAGTTGATATTTGACAAATTAAAATTTAAATCAAGGCAATATTTTATCTGATATCAAAAAAAACACCGATCCCAATTAAACAGGGATATTTCTATATGGTTTTCAATTTACAACCAAGTTTACACCATTTTTACACAAAATTAAATGCACTTTTGCCACATTTGTAAATATCATTTCCAATAATACTAAAGCTATACTAAAGTTACTAAGTTAAAGTTAACCTCATGCTAGAATGCGCGGGGGATATATCTCCCACCTCGGGTGATAAATGAAAGAAAATTTGTATTTCAAAAAGGATGCAGAAACAATTTGTTCTGAATTTATTTATTTTACTGTTGAAACTTGTTACAAACTAAATCGCTAGAAATGTGAAGTTTAAAGGACCTCGGTACTCACACCATTTTCCCGTGTCATAGGCCACATTACAACAATATTTACCACTCCGTACAAGGGTTTAACAATTTATTAAATCACGAGCGAAAGTATTCAGAATAGTTGCCGATATTAGCCGATAGTGTCAGATACTGGATTTCTGAAACCTTAGCCGGTTTTGTATTGAGCACACCAAAAGCTACACAGTGTAATTAACTACTAGAACATTTGTCAAACAGCACATCAGCAGTCATCATTTGAAGAATAAGAAACACAGCTGTTACTTTTCTGAAAAGGGACAGCTACTATGAGATTGGGTCACATTTAATTCCCAATTGTGTATTCAACTGGCTGTTATGGACGCTTTTTGTGTCTATTATTTGGCTATATTAAACCAACCCTCCCGACAACGCCTTTAAGCATATATTAACTTATGTTTTGGGAATTGTTTAATTATAATTAGATTTATGTACGGATTGAGATGATAAATCTTAAATCTGGAAACACACTCCAATTTAACTTACTACTAGTCAGGGTTCGTAAAATATCCCTCACAATCTGTCATTTTGCTCAAACAAAATAATTTCAACATAGGGCGGTGAAATTTGTCACAATAAAATGAGGAGTAACCAAGCAGGGCTGATGAATATTTTTCTGACAAAAATCACAACTTCTTTATACTGCCTTCTCCTCAAAACATTTTCCTCATTTTTGACATGAGGACATGAGAAAAATATTAACCAAAATAAGGCTTCTAACACCAAGTTTTATACAAGTTTTTCTTTGTATTATCTAGACTTTAATAAGCAATTTATATGTTTTTAAGCGCAGGTTACATCTTTTGAATCTTCTGCTAAGTCTACCACCGACTATGGATCAAATACTTTATTTCTTCACACTGTAAATTGGACATGCTTTTGAGTTGTCGGTGCTATTTGTCTTTGACTATATTGTCAATGATCATTTCATCACTTGTGAAGGATATTTTTTTCTGTCACTTTTTCATCATTTTATTTTCCTCACTCATTATGGGTATTTTTCGATCAGTGAGCGATATGTATTTGAATGAGCAAAGATGACAATTTGTTTGTATCGTGATTGATATATATTTATTTTCATCACAGTCATCTTGTTTTTGAGGGATATTTAAAATGCTACTGTACGAATGTACGAATGAAATGTGGCAAATCCATAATTTTCATATTACCAGGGGTGTCACAGAAATCGGAGGCTGATTTGGGGACGGTTAGCTTGGAAAAGCGTAGGTGGCGCAGAATCTGTAGTTTTTTGGAGTTTCGTAGTAAATTTGCTCTGATTTAGGAACATTTGCTTCAAAGCCTTCTATTTTGGTTTAAAACCGTGTACTTTATTTTAAAACGGTTCTTGTGACACCGATATTTTAATTTGGAGGGAAATTTGGTTGGAAAAGGTTTCTATCGATCTAGCCATGTCCGACTGTCTGTCGATTTTAAAATGTGCCTTTAAAGATTTCCGAGAAGTATAAATGCAATTGTGTTGTGTATATTTATACCTCTCGAAATGTAAAAGAAATTGTTCAAATCGGACCATTCGTTAAAAAGTTATGCCCGATCAAAGTTGTATATCTACATCATCTCCGCACTCCCTTTAGCTGAGTGACGGGTATCAGATAATCGGTTTAGTAGTGCCGTGATGTATTGAGCACCAATTTTAAAAGTCATTTTTAAGTCTAGTACTCACTTCAATCAAAAAGGTAGCGAAACGAAAATTTCTATGCAAAAATGACAGGCGAAAAATTTCGTAAGCCAAATTTTGTATGGAGATTTTTATTTAGTAGGCTTTTTGATTGAAGTGAGTACTAGGTTAGTACTCAACCCAACAAAATGTCGTACAAAACAAAAAACTTCATATGAAAATAACGTCAAAAAATTTTGTTTCATTTGTAGTTTTTTGTTTTGGACGACTTTTTGTTGGGTTGAGTACTAGCCCTTAAAAACAAAAACTTCTGATATCAAAGAAAAGCACCTCTTAGCACGGCACGCTGCAATAGATATTGCCTGTTTAGGCAGAACATTTTAGAAAGTGTATTTATTTAGTCGAATGTATACTAATTTTTTGTCACAAAACTTGATATCAGAACTTTTGTGTTTTAAAGGTGCGACATATTAGAATTTTCGAGAAATGTATAATATTGATATAGACTGATTTTTCAAGAATGAATGAATTTAAAATAAAGTAATAAAGTAGTAATAATAATAATAAAATACGTAGGACAGCTATATTAATCTATCCTTCACTATGTTGCAAAGTTCTGACTGAAATTGTAACACCCTATGCAAGGGTGTTCAATTTAGCTTGCTTGTTTTTTTTTTCATTTATTTAAATGTCCTCTGGAAACCGGAAGTGTACCTATGTTACCTGAAAACGATTTGATTTGTGGTTTCTGTCTATATTTGATTTTAGTTATAATGATGATGTAATTTGTATTCCCTTATATTTGCGGTTATGGGATCGGAACTGAGTTGCTATCCCGACGTCTTCTTATAAAGCCTGATAATGCAACGTTGTAATTGTACACCGCATTGTGTATGATGGTGCCTTAATCTAAATGTGAATCAGAACTTGAGGTGGTTCGATCGTCACCTGAGTGAGTAGTGACGGACAGCGTCCAGTCTCATGACTATCTCCACTGACCAAACCAAATAAATACAAGAAACAAAAAGAACTCTGTCATAGTCAGGAAACAGCTTTGTGGTCAAGGTATTTTTTTCAATTAGGCACCAAGATACTTGAGACAATTCCTACAAAGCCACAGAAAATTGATCGGATGGCGGTCACTTAGCTTTGTGAGAGAATGTTACTGAAGCAAAAATCAGTGTGGATAGCTACATGGGTATGAATACTAGTCGCTCCCACGATATTCGGTACTACATATTGAGTTGAATATGGAAAACTATAAACTAAAGCATCACTTACCATCGCCAGAAATACTGCCTTGCGAACTGTGTGAGTCTTCTGAAAAAAAAAATTGAAAATATTTTGCTTTTAAATATAGGCTTTAAAGTGAAACGCGTATAAATGTGGTACCTGCCCCGTTTTGCACATCATTCATTGCTGTCATCCATTCGACGCCTTGGGCCTGTGACATGAAATTATTAGCGGATGGTGGCGTATTTGTGTCCGATATGGTGCCTAATATTCTGTTTGAATATTCGTCAAACTTGTTCACTGTATTTGCAGTAAAAAGGGAAAATAGGTAATTACTTTGTAACAGAAAAAATAGGAGAAAAGCTAAAATTACACTTTAAATAAAAACAAAAACAAGAAAGGAAGCTAGCTTCGGCAAGCCGAAGCTTATATACCCTTGCAGATCATTCTATTAATTTACAAATCGCAAAAATTTTAAATTTCCTTTTATTTCACATTAATTAAAATTAATCGAAAATTCGTTTCTATGGCAGCTATATGATAAAGTAGTTCGATCTTTTTAAAATTAAAATCGAAATTCCGAAATATTTAACAAGAAAGGAAGCTAGCTTCGGCCGGCCGAAGCTTATATACCCTTGCTTGATAATACAATAAAAACCAAAGAAGCTAGAATTTATTTCCTATTACTTTTCCATTAATTTTCCGATCGTTCCTATGGCAGCTATATGATATAGTAGTCCGATTTTTTAAATAACACTATGCAGCATCAAAAATTAACCTCGATAAATGCTATATTTTTGGATTCGTTACGAATTCCCAAGTTAAACTGCGTTTTCTAAAGAGTTCCCCGACGCAAGGATTCTTAGCAAAAGGACCTCAAAGTTCGAAAAATGCTGAAATTGGCCAACTTTGCGGAGCTCTCAGAGGCAAATGGATGCATGGCTTGGTTTGAAGTTAAAGTTTTTAAAAGATACACCCTTTATCTTTCAAACCCCATACATAAAATAATTTTAGGATTTTTTTTAAGGCAGAAATAAATTTCAAAAAACATAGTCAAAAAACTGAAAAACATACAGCTGCGGTCAAAATAGTAGTAGTGTCGCCGCCTTGTGTATTTTAAAAGTTTGATGTTGTAATTTTTCTTATCCAATTAGTCTAATAGGAAAATTATAATCAATACAATATTACCAGGAAAAGATCAATTACAACAACAAACTTTTAAATACACAGGGCGGCAACACTACTACCATTTTGACCGCAGCTGTATACTTTTATGTTTTTTGACTATGTTTTCTAGAACTTGTTTCTGCCTTAAAAAAAATCTTAAAAATTTTGTAAGTATGGGGTTTAAAAGATAAAGAGTGTATCTTTTATAAAACTTTAGCATCTAACCAAACCATGAATCCGTTTGCCTCTGAGAGCTTTAGAAAGTTGGCCAATTTCTGAATTTTTCGAACTTTGAGGTCCTTTTGCTAAGAATCCTTGCGTCGGGGAACTTTTTGGAAAACGCAGTTTAACTTGGGAATTCGTAACGAATCCAAAAATATAGCATCCATCGAGGTAAATTTAAAAAGCACTAAAAATGCTGCACAGTGTAATTAAATCGAAATTCAGAAATATTTAAAAAAAAACATCCCCAAAAGTAGAAGGTAATATTTCAAAAAACACCGAAGCTAGAATTTTTTAAAGTTTTTTTTTCCGATCCTTCCTATGGGAGCTATAAGATATAGTTGTCCGATCCGGTCGGCTCCGACATATATACTACCTGCAATAGAAAGAAGACTTTTGCGAACGTTTCGTCCCGATAGCTCAAAAACTGAGAGACTAGTTTGCGTAGAAACAGACAGACGGACAGACGGACGGACAGACGGACGGACAGACGGACGGACAGACGGACGGACAGACGGACATGGCTAGATCGACTCGTCTTGTGATGCTGATCAAGAATATATATATACTTTATGGGGTCGGAAACGTCTCCTTCACTGCGTTGCAAACTTCTGACTGAATAGTCATATTCCAGAGTAGAAAAAAATTTAATAAAAATCAACAAAGATATAATTTTTTTCCTATTAATTTCCATTTAAGGTATAAGGAACGTAATATTTGAAAAAACACCGTAGCTAGAATTTTTGTAACTTTCCCAAAAGTCTTCTTTCTATTGCAGGTAGTATATAAGTCGGAACCAACCGGATCGGACAACTATATCTTATAGTTCCCATTGGAAAGATCGGAAAAAAACGTGTTTTTATACCCTTGCAGAGGGTATTATGATTTCAGTCAGAAGTTTGCAACGCAGTGGAGGAGACGTTTCCGACCCCATAAAGTATATTCTTGATCAGCATCACAAGACGAGTCGATCTAGCCATGTCCGTCTGTCCGTCTGTCCGTCTGTCCGTCCGTCTGTCCGTCTGTCTGTTTCTACGCAAACTAGTCTCTCAGTTTTTGAGCTATCGGGACGAAACTTTCGCAAAAGTCTTCTTTCTATTGCAGGTAGTATATATGTCGGAGCCGACCGGATCGGACAACTATATCTTATAGCTCCCAAGGGAAGGATCGGAAAAAAAAAACTTTAAAAAATTCTAGCTTCGGTGTTTTTTGAAATATTACCTTCTACTTTTGGGGATGTTATTTTTTAAATATTTCTGAATTTCGAATTATTTATTTAAAAAATCGGACTACTATATCATATAGCTGCCATAGGAACGATCGGAGAATTAATGGAAAAGTAATAGGAAATAAATTCTAGCTTCTTTGGTTTTTATTGTATTATCTTCTACTCTAGGATATGACTCTTTTTACATATTTCCGAATTTCAATTTTAAGTTGATCAAAATCGGACGACTATATCATATAGCTGCCATAGGAACGATCGGAAAATTAATGAGAAATATTAGAAAATTGAACATTTTTGCGATTTGTTAATTAATAGGAATGATCTGCAAGGGTATATAAGCTTCGGCTGGCCGAAGCTAGCTTCCTTTCTTGTTTTAAGTATTACCTTCTACACACAAAAAAAAAACTTGGTAAAATCAACTGTAATAATTGTCAAACAGGCCCCAACCAGCAAAATTGTCAATTCTACTAAGTAAATAGTCACTTTCACAACAACAAATACACACAATTAGCAAGGACACAAACCCAAAGCAAAAACAAAATACACGTAACTATTTTAATAGTTACGCAACTATCTTTGTTGGTCAATTTTACCAAGCAAATTTTTTTGTGTGTACTCTTGGGAATATTATTTTTTAAATTTTTCTGAATTTCGAATACAATTTTTAATAAATCGGATCACTATATCATATAGCTGCCATAGGAACGGTAGAAAAATTAAATGGAAATTATTTGGAAAAAAATTATATCTTTGTTGATTTTTATAGGAAGGATCAAAAAAATAATGATCTGCAAGGATATATACACTCAAAATAAAATTAACCCTTAAGTCAAGGAAATCGCCTTACTTTTGTCTTTAAGACAAGCTTGCCTTAAATTTTAGGGTCACATTTTTCTATATTTTTGATTTTTTTTGACGTCATATTTCTAAATTTTAGGGTAATTTTACTAAATTTAAGGGCAAAAATTTCTAAAAAGTAGGAAATTTTTCTAAAAAATAGAAATTAAAAACAAAACAAAAAAACATGTTCAATCATGATTTTTTTTTGTATATACGTTTATATTTTGTACTCCTCCCTATATCCGTATGCAGGCGTTGTGTGTCTTGTATATTGTGAATGTTAAAGGTTATGTATTTATTATTATCGCAATTTATATTATGTGTAGTATATAGTAAATAGCTGAATATAAACCAAATTATTTTCGGTTTACCGCTTGCCATCAATAAAAAAAAAGGAATAAAAAAAAGAGTAAAAAAACAAATTTAAATAAAATACAAAAAAAAACAAGAAAGGAAGCTAGCTTCGGCAAGCCAAAGCTTATATACCCTTGCAGATCATTCTATTAATTTACAAATCACAAAAATGTTAAATTTCTTATTATTTCACATTAATTTTTCGATCTTTTCTATCACAGCTATATGATATAGTAGTTCGATCTTTTAAAAATTAAAATCGAAATTCGGAAATATTTCAAAATAGTCATATCCCAGAGTAGAAGGAACTGTAATAAAAACCAACAAAGATATAATTTTTTTCCCATTAATTTACATTTAATTTTCCGACCGTTCCTATGGCAGCTATATGATATAGTGATCCGATTTAAAAGACAAAAAAAACGAAATTCAGAAATATATAAAAAAAAATGTTCCCAAGAGTAGAAGGTAAAATTTAAAAAAACACCGGAGCTAGAATTTTTTTACGTTTTTTTTTTATCCTTCCTATGGGAGCTATAAGATATAGTTGTACGATCCGTTTGGTTCCGACATATATACTACCTGCAATAGAAATACGACTTTTACGAAAGTTTCATCCCGATAGCTTTAAAACTGAGAGACTAGTTTGCGTAGAAACGGACGGACAGACGGACAGACGGACATGGCTAGATCGACTCGTCTAGTGATGCTGATCAAGAATATATATACTTTATGGGGTCGGAAACGTCTCCTTCACTGCGTTGCAAACTTCTGACTGAAATCATAATACCCTCTGCAAGGGTATAAAAAAAATAAAAAAAACTTAAAAAAAAAGGTAAAAAATAGTTTGCTCTGGAACTCGAACCAGGGTCGTTTCGATTTCTAACCAAGCGCTTTAACCGTCTGCGCTACGAGTACAGCCGCCCGGCAGCTGACAAGTTCTGGCATTGAACATTTTGGTGTGAAAACAACTATTTCTATTTTTTAGAAAAACTTTCTACTTTTTAGAAAATGTTTCTATTATTTAGGGCTAGCTTAATTTTAGGGTTAGGGCACTCATTTCTAGAAAAGGTGTTGCCAAAATATTTTATTATTTTCGTTTGCCTTTCTATTTTTCAGAAAATAATTTCTAATTTTAAGGGCATTTTTTCTAGATTTTAGGGTGATTTTAGTTCATTGTAACCATTTTCTACATTTAAGAAAAACTTCCTGGATTTAAGGAAAACTTTCTTGACTTAAGAAAAATTTCCTTAGATTTAGAAATAACTTTCTTGTATTTAGAAAAAAAAAATTTTAATGGCGATTTTCTAAAATTTAGGGTTAAATTTATTTTGAGTGTAATCTTCGGCTGGCCGAAGCTAGCTTCCTTTCTTGTTTTAATTTATTCCTGTTAATCAGAAAGTAAAAGTGTATACTGTACTCGTCGCAAAGTATGTAGCGGGTAGGAGGAAGCGTTTCCGATCGTAGTCGCAGTTGTTTAGCTGCTTGCGTATATCCATCTTCATCGCCCCCCTTTAGCTAAATAACGGGTATTTGATAGTCGAGGTTCTCGACTATAGTGTTCTATCTTGTTTATAGTGGATGGACAGACAATATAAATGATTCATATAAAGGAATTCGCTGATAAAAATCGTGGAACATTCCAATGTGAAGACATGTGAAATTTTCCTATACCAAAAATTCCGTGACTTGGAGGAAACACCTTTCATTTAATTTCTGGTTTCTAAAGCATTCAGACAACTCAAACATGAATCCAAGAAGAATCGATTTCTGCGACTACTGGTCGCACTGCCAAAACTTGGGAGGGGAAATAAAATCGCGTCCCGAGTGCATTGCTCTTGCGAGCTTGGTTAACTATTCCCCATCTCTTCTGCCAGCAAAAGCTATTGTTCTTTAGTTCCGGACGTTTGTAACTTGGATTAACATCCTATTCTCCGACGGTCAACATTTTTCCACTTGAAATTTTAATAGAATGAAATTTAATCTTTTGTTTAACTCTTTTTACTCCTTTATGTAATCGTGAATATATCAATTGACTTATTTCATTTGTCATTATCTAAGAATAAACGGTATTCAAAGTCAATTTTTTTAGCATGAGGGGTACAAACAAATTTCTATTCTGTTTCTGTCCCGTATTTTAACCAATCTATGCCATTTGATCAAAGTAACATAAAATGTATTAACATTTTACTTACCTTTTGACTTATCTTCCATGTGTGGTGAGGTATACACGTTACTACTACCGGCATGATGTTGATGATCATGCTGATTTTGATTGGGGTTAATAGCACTGCTTAGGCTATCACCTGTCGACGTGCTCTGCAAAGTGTGTAAAGTCGGTGAAACGCCCTGATGCTGTTGAGACAGGATATGGTGTTGCAAATGTTGGTGATCGTGCTCATGCTGGCCTGTACTTGTATTCAGTGTTTGGTCTTGTGTACTGTGAAGAATCTGCGGCTGGTGTATAATACGGTGTTGAAGCTGATGAGAGAGTGTCCCGAGCCCATGGCTAAGATGTGACGATGTCTGCATATCCATTATGAGCATCAGAGCTGCCAAAAATGTGAAAGTAACTGGAATATAAAAACAAGTTAATGTTTTTTATTTAAAATAAACTAGCATAAAAAATAATTCGGCAAGCCGATATTAAAGTATAATATCCGAATGTGGTTCAAGTTCTGATAAAAAATTTTCGGTCGTCAAAACTTTTGTATACACAATATAGAGTTCAAGTCGACAGACAGACAGACGGACAGACGGACATGGCTAGATCGACTCGGCTTGTGACCCTGATCAAGAATATATATACTTTATGGGGTCGGAAACGCTTCCTTCTAGCTGTTACATACTTTTGCACGAATACAATATACCCTTTTACTTTACGAGTAACGGGTATAACAAGAAAGGTAGCTAGCTTCGGCCAGCCGAAGCTTATATACGCTTGCAGATTATTCCTACTAACTTACAAAAACATTAAATTTAGATTTAATTGCTTATATGTTAAAAAAATTAACATTTTAGCTGCTTTCGTATATTTTGGCATTATTTTTTGATCCTTCCTATTCGAAATTTTGAAATTTTAAAGAAAAACTATATCCCAGAGAAGAAAAAAATTAAATAAAAATCAACAAGGACATAATTTTTTTCCTATTAATTTTTTATTTAATTTTCTGACCGTCCCTATGGCAGCTATATGATATAGTGATCCGAATTTTCAAAAATTTTATTCGAAATTCAAAAATATTTAAAAAGTAATATTCCCAAAAGTAGAAGGTAATATTCAAAAAAGACCGAAGCTAGAATTTTTTGATCGTTCATTTTTCCGATCTTTCCTATGGGAGTTATAAGATATAGATGTCCGATCCGGGCGTATATACTATTTTTGGGAAAGTTTCATCCCGATAGCTAAAAAACTGAGAGACTAGTTTGCGAAGAAACGGTCGGACAGACTGACGGACAGGCGGGCATGGCTAGATCGACTCGTCTAGTGATGCTGATCAAGAATATATGTACTTTATGGGGTCGGAAAGGTCTCCTTCACTGCGTTGCACACTTCTGACTGAAATCATTATACCCTCTGCAAGGCTATACAAATTTCCGTTTTTCCAAGCTTTAAAAATTCATGAAAAACTAATTTCTTGCTGGATCGTAAGAATCTTTGGCTTGTTATATTTTTCAAAGTGCCATCTTCCAGTAGATGCATTAAAATGTATCTAGATATTTTTCACTGTACATATTATGTCAGACTTTTAGCAACCCTATTTTTTTTTATTTGAGTATTTTTTTTTTCCTGAGTAACGGATATCTGATAGATACGTTTTATCTTGTGCAATGCTGATTTAAGATAGTTTTTTTTTGTGCAACGCCGTATGCAATTGACAGATTTTGAAATTTTATTAACTTAAAGTTATCTTCATATATCAAATAAATGTATTTATTTTATTCATTTTCCGTAGTTTGCATTAAAATAGACATATCATCATTGATACAAATCAAGAATATACACAGTTTAGGTTCAAGAGAGGTCTCCAATAATATTTGTGTCCTTTGGTTATCAAAATGCAATCAAACATTTATTTCTTTACGGCTTTGAAATGCGCGACAGAAGGCAATTGCATTTCCCGCTCATTTAATTGTGGCTCGTCGTAGTAGCCAGTCCCCTGCCCTGCAAGGTGCACTGTCTACCCGCCAGATGAAGGTTGAACCCGCGCAAACGTGTTTGCTAGCACTCATTCACCTGTTGTTAATTGACCTTTTTGGGACTATCACTCCCCTAAGGGTCTCTGCAGTTGAAGTATCTGAGCCACTTAAGGGTATGGTCTAGGCCATCTGTTTTTCCTTTACACTTTTCATTCTTACATTAGAAGTTGGCACCCCATTGGGCTATTCGCCTTTTTATGTAAAGTCAAACTAATTTTTTAGTAAATTTGCTACCAATTCATATTTTGTATTTGCACCGATTTCCTACAAAAATGTAAATGATCATTAATTTGACAACAAACATACATATTGTAGAGGAAAACGGATTAATTTGTTACCTCGAAAATTCCTACACCTCCTATGTTACTATCAGAATGAACCAGTCTTTCAATGTGCAGGGTTTGGCTCTGTTGTTCACCTCTTACCACCACCATCAACCCTTTTTAATTCATTCTTTACCTGGTGGGCTTACAGAAGCGCGGGAAAATAAAGTTGATGTCTAGCAGAGGGATGAAATAATACAAACACCGACTTTTTAACACTTCTTCTGCTCTTATAATAGATACAAATGAAAACTAGTACGAAACATATATAAACAAATACATATGTATATGTACGTGTCTGTATTAATTCACTTAATAATAATCAATTAATTTAAACAATTTAAATTGATGTATTAACATAAACAATAATATAATAAAAGATTGATACAATTTTTCAAAGTTTTTAGGTTTTTCAAAAAACGTTTTAAATCCGTAATTGTTATGCACCGACAGGTAAACGGTAAAGTTTCAAGTACGTTGAATCGCGATATCATTGGTACCATAAAACAAAAGTCACGGTCGGGCATGTGGTCCTGCTTCGAGGTCATTCGGGTTTCTACACTTTGTTCTTTTCAATACCAACTCACTTTTATGCATTACACCCCATACTACAATCAATTCAACAAAATTAAAAGTGGGAAAAATAGTCGAATTTTCACACACTCCAGCCAAATAATGGCGAGTCAGAAAACTTAGCTAAGGCAGTCTATGAAAACAGAGAAAATAAGCAGCTCAAGGTCAGGAGCGTGGGTAAAACTAAGATATTTAAGTTCGCTTCACCATAGAAGTCAGGAAAACGGTTGGCAGCACAAATCGTACGTGTAGAATTATGTGTAATATCTCATTTACGATGGTAAATATGTTCACTTTAGTATGTATAAATAAAGCACCTTAACGTACAGCTCACTTACTGAATTTCTTATGTCCGCTTTTTGTATTTTTTAACGTTTTAAAGCATTGAAAGTAGTATAATATAATATAATATAATATAAAGGACTAAACTTTCTTAGTATTGAAAGCTTTGAAAAACGAATTCCAAATCACTTTTCTGGATATCACTCAAATTACGAATCTTAGACACTTTCAGTCAATACGATACTTGACAGGTAAAAAAGACAGCGCGTTCCACCTGTTGGCTATGAGTCCACGAAACAACGCGAGTTTCAGGTGGATCTTGAAGCGTACGCCAAGAGATCTCGAGCGAAACTAAATTGTTGAATGGCAATGGACGGCGGAAGCCGTTCACACTCAAGCGACCACTTTCCTGAGTGCGTTCATAGTGGCTTATATATTTTTTGAGTCGCGCTCAAAACTTGGCCCAAGACGGCTATACGGTTGGTCGGTTTCATTCGCGCTCAAACTGGCAGTCGACTAATCGGGAGACATAGCGTGTTGGTCGAACGCAAAAGCTGGGCTTGAAATATGATCACAGCGCAGAATGAGTAATAGAGAGAGAGAGAAGAAATGATTCAGCGCCAGTCTGTGAAAGAGAAGGTATGAGAGACATCTCCCGTTTTCGCTTTGTACGGTCTTTATACTCAAAATTTTGAAGTATTTAAGTAGTTTTTTATAGTAATTTACACTTGGCCATTAACATATGTGTATGCGTGAATGTGTTCATGACTATGAACGCACTTCTACAACCAATGTAATGCTTATGTACTCTTGAGTAAATAAGCAGTTCAAAAATCGGGCAAAACCTTTCTCCTTTCTACATACATACATGCATATATATGTATATGCATATACATGCATATATATGTATATAGCAGCGACTAAAAAGCTTTCTTTGATTGCTGAAACTGGAGTAGCCTTGTGCGTCCATTTTTCGAAAATACTACATTTTTGGTTAGAAGTTGCAGCGCAGTACTTTCCGACCCTAAAGAGTGTATATGTATGTATGTAAGTTCTTGATCGGCTTTAACAGGAGAGTCGATATAAGCATAACCGTCTGTTTAGCCTTGCGTCCGCTTCTAAGCACACAAATATCTTAATTTTATATTCCTTTGGATAAAACAAAAAAACACTTTTTGAAACGACTTTTTTAAAAAATTTTAATGTTAGTTGTGAACTTTGACTTGTCCAAGGAGGCTTCCGGTCCCGCATTTAAACAAAAAACGGAATATCCTTATGATTCAATTTAAACGAACTACATTTACCGATAATTTGGGTTCTTTAACATGTATGCAAATAAAAATGTTTGTCAAACAACAACTGAATATTGTATCAATCATTGGTTTCTCAGCCCAACAAACATATTCGGGGGTGTCACAGAAATTATTATCCAACGGACTCCAAATATTGCATACCCGAATGTGTATAACTTTTGAGTAAATTGTGTCGAACGGAAGCTAAGTCTGTTTACGTGAATAATCAACCCCCTTTTTGCTTACTCGATCGAGTTGTGTTTTAACTTTGAGTGACCTGCATTCTACAGGTTGACAAGAGCGACCAAATATACATATATAAATGTGTGATAGTAGTGAGCCATATGAAGATCGTCATAATTAGGAGTACAGTCGACCCTTCTTCAAAATAAAATGTGATTCAGTATAACCGCAGGCGAGTACTCAGATTTGCAGGTTTAGGTTAGACAAAGAAAAAGTTAACTTGGTATCACTAGAAGGCGACCTAACTTATGTTGCTGGTATACAGCTATTAAAGCGAAAACGGCGCGTGCCGAGCAATCTTCGACTACCGTTGCAAACTACACGGAAGGGAGAAGAGAGATCACTCAACCGTCGCAAAATCTAGAGCTTGTTGCTGCTAGTGTAATAAAATAGAAACTTGGAAAACTGGCTAGAAGGCCTTTGATATTGTTATGTGTATCATAATTCAAATTCAATACTACCTATGTACATCAGCTACAGCTTTTAAGTTTTAATATTTCAATTCAAATTGTCTCTGTGCAGTTCAAATATGTGGGTAATATTCGTGATCAGGATCGTCGGTCAAGTTTATCTTGCCCTGTTTGTCTAGCTGTCCGTATGAAAGTCGAAATCTCTCAAACTTAGAGATAGATAAACAGGATGCCGTGCTTTTTTACGCACCAAAGTGTTATTTTAATTGGCGTATATTTTAAATGTGATTACTTGTAAGAAAGTTATTGATCGTGGGTTTTGTATGGAAATAGTACGCCTTCGTGTATGCATCATTTTTTTGTACGGTTAGCTCATTGTCGGGGATTTCGTTATTAGCGGTATTTTCGTTTAATATAATAATTTGGATATTGCCTAAAACAAAGTGGTATCTTTGCAATCGCAAGAAAGTACCTAGAAAGTAAAGCTGTTTTGATCGTAAAACTGTTTTATAATTACCTAGTTCATATATATAAATTTTAACGTATTCATCCCTTACCTTTTTCCTGAAGAAAATTCCGTGACACTCACGATGCCCGCGCTTTATATATGGAACACCTGTTAGACCGGACCGCAGTGGTGGTGCTGGAAATAAAAACCAACCCTCCGATCGGGTTCTTTGTTCATTTTTCCGGTCCTCTTATGTGTACATGTGTAATGTGGCTGATGTGCCTTAATGTTAATACCACTCGCAAAAAGTTCAATGATCTCAAAAGTTATGAATCAATTGCCTTTTTATATAAGAATACATATAAAAATTTAAAATCTAAATATGTTATCTAAATAATTTTATTTAGCAGCTTTCCTTTCGAGGTGCTCATTCATTACACATAAGAAACTGGAAACAAAAGTTTGTGTATGCATACATATGTAGTCCGAACGCAACTATAATTTGAGCACATGGTTATGTATACATATTTATAAAGTTATGTACAAACATTTTTTGTAGAATTGCGCTTGATAGCTCTTGATATGAACAATCGGTATTCATATGTTTTTGGTATGAAATTCGGTATTTCAATCGTGGCTCGTGGCTTTTCACGGTCTGCAGGCCAACCGAGACAGCTTTTCCGCCGTTTCTTTTGGTTGTTGTTGACTGCTAGCTTTAGGTACTGGATCGGATCTGCCATTGTTGTTTCTGTTATGTTATGTACTGCTTATTTATACTACTAACTATATTTGTTGTTATACCCTTGCAAAGAGCATTTTAATTCTTACCAGAAGTTTTCAAGATCTCGAAGCTTATGCGGACAGACGGTTATGATTATCGGCTAGTATTCCTGATTACAATATATATATATATATATATATATACCAACGGTCGGCAGCGACCTATTAAGTGAGCATGGGGTTTTGTTCTGCCCAGCCGCTGCTCGCTCACGTACACTGTAGAACAGCGGTCTGCACACACACATCGATGAGCTGCCCAGTGCAAATTACTCACACAAATATAAAACAAAAAACAAAAAAACAAAATTTCTCCTAAACTTTTGAACAAAAAAGGGTAAACTACAGAGTAAAAGGGTATATTGTAGTCCTCGGAATGTATGGAACAGGTAAAAGGATAACTAGCCGAGCCGATCTCGGAAACTACAAAAGTTAGAAAGTTGGGATTCACTATACAGATTCTGTTATAATTGTCAATCAGTCCCCAACCACAAAAAATAGTCAATTCTACTAAGTAAATAGTTACTTTCACAACAACAAATACACACAATTAGCAAAGACACACACCTTTATCCTTGACAAAATTCTCAATTTTTTGTGGTTGGGGTCTTTTTTGACAATTTTTTTGTGTGTTCGCAGCGCAAGATCCAGCCAGTTCGTAATATATGACTGGTTGTTGTATTAAATCTTATCCAATTCGTACAATAGTACACTCAAAAAAATTGACTAAAATCGCCCTTGGTTTTAGAAAATCGCCTATGAATTTGCTTTACTGGCGATTTTGTCTACACACAAAAAAAAAACTATGTAAAATTAACATAGAAAAATAGTATTTCACTATTTTCTGAATTTTTCATGTATTTTGTTGTTTTATTTTTTGGGTCATTGAATAGTATTTAACAATTAAAATAATAGAAAACATATTTACGAAACTTGCATGTATTTTGTTGTTTTATTCATTTGGCAAGTTAATAGTAACGTCTCAATTAATAAGCGTAGCAAAACTATTTTATTTGTTTGCGTGTATTTTGTTGTTTTATTTTTTGGGGCATTAAATAGTAACACCACAATTAATATCGTAACACAACTATTTTTTTCCTTCATATATTTTGTTGTTTTAAAAATACGATTATAAATTGTATGTCAACTATTTTTCTGGACTTAGGGTGGTTAGAGTATCCGACTCATAATCTCTGGGTCGTGAGTTCAAATCCCGCTTTTGCAGATGATATTTTTCTTTTCTTTTTTTTTTGTTAAATGTTGATTGATATATATATATATATGATGATATATGATGATATATGATGATATATAGACTTGATATAGATTTTCCTCTACAAAAAGCATTCTTCTGTGACCTAGTGGTTAGAGTGCTTGACTCCGATGGTTGCGGCCCTCGTTCGATTCCCAGCGGAGGCAAAAAACCTGGTTTGTAAGTTTAAGTATCTGTGAAATGTAAATGTCTATAAATAACTTCCATATAAATTAATATAACAAATTAAATTAAAAATAAAAAAAGTTAAAAACATAATTAAAAAAAACAACAATTTTTTTCGGGTTAAATACTATTTTGTAGGTAATCTACTATTTTATAGGTAATCTACTATTTTTTGGGGCATTTTCTATTTTTTATGGGTTGGGGCAGTTTTCACTATTAAATAGTTGATTTTACATTTTTTTTTGTGTGTATATTAAAGAAAGTAAGTTTTTAAAATCAAAGGCGTTTTTTCTAAAAATCAAAAAGAAAAAGACTGAAATTTAGTCAGTTTTGGCTAGAAAATAAACAAAATTTTTTCTTACAATTTAGAAATAAAGGTTTGATGAAAAAAAAAAAGAAATACGGTTTTTTTAAATATAGACAAATATTTTTTAAATAACAAAATCAAATTCCTTAAATCCAGAAAATACTGAAATCTGTTTTCGGGCTTCGGAATTATGCCGGTTGTTTCTGTGACGCCACGGCTCTTGTGTTGTTTTTTACTTCTTGCTTGTGATCTTATTTGAATTTCCGTTGAGCACATGGGTGGGTGATGTATATATTTATGTATTTTCATTTGTTGTTTTAAATTGGAACTGTAATAATAACTGAAATGAGTATACAAATTACCAATTATAAATATAAAATCAAATAACTTACTATTTTGAGAAAAACATCTTGGTC